AATAATAATAATAATAATAATAAAACAAGTTTTATTACTGATTATCTCCAACTAATACATTTCATTTCAGTAGATGGCTCTCCATTTTTCCAGTGGCTCAGATCAAAATGTAGAGAAGTTTGATACCTATTTCTCTCAACCTCACAGCCAACCATTCAGAAACTTCCAGCTCATTCTTTAAAATATATCTAGAAAATCAATCATCTTCTCAACATTTGAATTACTATCCCTTGGAACAAGCCACCTCATTCCTCAGATACATTGTTCCATGGGCCCCTACACCTGCTCCCTGCTGTTGGCCCCCCTACAATGTATATTCAATACAGGATCTACTGGAATTCTTTCCAAAATTTAAGTAGGACTTGACACTCTTATTCAAAATCCCTTGATTGACTTTTAATCTCACTTTCAGTAAAAGCCTAAATCCTTGGTGTACAAGGTCACATATACACTGCCCCACTATCCTCTAAGACCTTACCTTCTATGATTCTTCCCCTCTCCTCGTTACTGTACTGCAGCCAGACTCTTTGCACTGGCTCTTTATTCTGTTTACAATACTCTCCACACAGATGTTGGCAAGATTTGTTCCTGTGCCTCCTTCAGGACTTTACTTGAATGCCACCTTCTCAAAAAGGCCTCAAAGGGTAGAAACAGTGAGCCAGCTGTCTGCCATAGACATTGTCCAGCTCTCTTGGATCTTGTGAGCCCATAATGTTACATGACTGAGTAATGGCTGGTAGAATCTGGGTAAGTGTGATATATGTCAGTTCTGGCCTAGTCCATCATCCTCTAATCTCCCCTCTTACCCTATGCCAATCTGTTGAAACTTGTTGTAGGTTGAAGTATAGAAGAAAATCCAGCTTCACACAAATACATAGTTGAAAAAGAGAGGATCAGTTAAATAGACTTTCAGACAAAGTGGATATTCTAAAAGAACTTGTTTTTTTAAAGATTAAAATGAGGAATCTGAAACCACATCAATGAATTTTTCATGCTTGGTTACACAAAAATCCAATAGTCTACCTTATATTTTGAATGGATCCTTCATAAGTTTGTTACATCTAAAATTTAATTTTCACTCAAAAGCTAAAATTTCCTCTTCAGCAACAAATAACATGCTCACTTTGTTCATTTAAAAAATAAAAATGTGTGCCAATATCCAAGCCTAAATAACCATAATTACACATTCTTTCAAATAAAAATGGCATGCCATGATAAAAAAAGCTAGTTCAGCCGGCAACTCCAATGACTGCACAAGTGCTTTTCTTTGAAGCGCCATGGTATTTTGGTGTGCTTTATGTTCATTGGTAAAATACTAAAGGGTCAAGATATAAGAAAGGTAATTTTCAATGTTGTATCAAGGGGAATTATTCTTTCTTTTGAACTGTAACTATATGCCAGTGAAGAACACAGTAACTATGCAAACAGTTTGGTGCCCCTGCTTTGATTTGTGTAGTGAGGAACAAGTGGTTTTTACCCACCATTGCTTTTGAACTGTCAGTACAAACAACACAGTAAATAAAATAAAATAAAATAAAAAACATTTAGTATTATACAAGATTTGGAG